AGTTTGTACACGTTACTTGGCTGGGGAACTGCATTGCAGAATTCGGAGAAGTGCGAATTTGAAAGGATGGCTGATAAGGTTTCAGAATGTGTGAATCTAGGTACCTTTGCCTTTAAATGTGAACTGAACAAATGTCTCCCCCATCTCGACACGTGAGCAAAGCATGAATAGGGCTTGCAAGTCCAGTACTTGCAAGCATTTTCTATTCTCAGTTGGAATCAGGCACCCTTCAGAGGAAGGGGAAAGACAGAGAGGCAGAAAGCATCCACTGCCAACAGTGCCAGCATCACCTGTGAGAGAACAAGGTGTTATGCAACTGGGAGACAAGTTGCAATTGCCTTCCATCAGAACTGTTACAAGGAAAAGTTAAACTAGGATAAATGAAATTGACATGCATTTTACTGAGGCTAAGAGGAGCATTTGCAGACTACCGGGAAGAATCACTGCACTACTGTAATGGCAACTGAGAGTGAAAACGCTCTCATGTCTTAGCTTGGCTCCTTCTGCATTTTTCTTTGGCAAAGTGCTCCACAGGTTAAGGGGAAAATATTGGGCAATTCACACATGATGCCTATCAGAGTAAGTTTGTCAAGCAGACGAAAAGAGACAGGACTATTAGTTCAAATGTATATTGTTCCACCCTGTATGTGTGTTTTTTGGGGGTGCGGATTAATGTAAAAACTTCTTGCTACAGATGCTTGCATGTTTTCTTACTCTGTTTCTTTAGATGATGGCAAAGAGAAATCTGAACTCTGCTTTCATCTGCCTATGGGTGGAATTTTGTCCTGGAACCTGATACAGTAATAGAGTGACCCTGTGGGTTGCCAATATTGCCTGCTCTCTATCTTTATCCTACTAAAACGACTCTTCAGCCAGAACTGATCTTCCCAAGGCCACCAGTCTCAAACGTGAGCGGTCTAGTCTTCCAATCAAAATGAAGTCTGCTTCTAATGAACTGTGACTATGAACAAATAGGTGAAATACCCAACCTTTTCAATGATGTGGGCACATCAGAGACACAAAACGACACAAAACTTTCATTCAGCTGGCAACAACAACAAGCCAAGTGAATCATATTTTGGGGAATAAAATATGAGATTTGTAATGCTGCAATAAATATTTAGACTTGTGCTACATTTTTATTGAACTGATGAGGGAGAATAAATGTCATTTTTGACACCAGATCTATCAAATTCTGATTCATTCACGCTGGGATAAATGTCTAGTAAATCCATTTAAGTGACAATATAAAGTATCATGACAAGCACAGTCTATATTGGGGCTTGTGGCACAAATCCTATGACGCTGATTCGCTGAGGTGGCACACGGTGGCACAGAATGTTCTGTTCTCGGGGATGCTAAGCCATTTGAGGGTCAACTTCTGTGATGGGAGGGAAAGTTCTCAGTTGAGCTGCAAAGTAAAGCACCACAAGAAGCAAGCTTGTGGGAACAAGGAAGTGGTCAAAGGACATAAGGAATGTAAGAGAGAATGGAATTTGGAGGCAAGCAACCTAAAGAAAGAGTGCAGGACAAACAGTATATTGATAAAAAGGAAAGTGCAGGAAGGTTAGGCGAATAAGGTTTCAGGTAAGAGGCAAATGAGACAGGGAAACTATCAAAATGGGAGAATATTATTGTGGCCCCATGTCCTACGCAGACCCTCCAAGCGTCCCTATTTTCCAGAAACAATCCCTTATTTACAGAAGCCATCCCAGTTTTGATTTGATCCTGGAATGTCCCACTTTTCCTTAAAAAGGTAAAGGTAAAGGACCCCTGACAGTTAAGTCCAGTCGTGAACGACTCTGGGGTTGTGGCGCTCATCTCATTTTACTGGCCAAGGGAGCCGACGTTTGTTTGGAGACAGTTTTTCCGGGTCATGTGGCCAGCATGACTAAGCCGCTTCTGGCGAAACTGGAGCAATGCACGGAAACACCGTTTACCTTCCTGCCAGAGTGGTACCTATTTATCTACTTGCATTTTGACATGCTTTCAAACTGCTAGGTTGGCAGGAGCTGGGACCGAACAACGGGAGCTCACCCCGTTGTGGGGATTCGAACCGCCGACCTTCTGATCGGCAAGCCCAAGAGGCTCAGTTGTTTAGACCACAGCACCACCCGCATACCCACTTTTCCTTAGGACGTCTCTATTTTCATCAGAGAAATTGTGGAGGGTATGGATGTCCTTATTTTCATCAGAGAAATGTTGCAAGGTATGCTTCTGAGCTTCCCAAAGGCATCAGGTTGCGCCACTGTCCAAAATGAATGGTTGTCTTGAGAGGCCTTTCGGGCAAGAAGATGCAGAAGGGCAAATCTGGTGGGGAAATCTGGTGGAGTGGGGTATAAATAGTAAAATTATCATTATGGAATGAGAAGGCCCTATATTCAGCGGAGAAATGTTGGTGGCTATGAAGTTCATGTAAGGCCCAAAGGAAGAAGGGATATGCTTTATTGACAGAAATGAAATGAATAGGCAATGAAGGTTTGGGGGATGGGTCACAGAGCGAAGGAAACAGCATTGGTAGGTCTTGATCCAAGACACGAACAAGGGAGTTCTGTCAACCGAAGCTTCTCTTAACAATTCTGTGGGGACAAGGGCCAAAAAAATGTCAGTAGGTGCTGAATGCCTCATATTGATTTGACCTAACCAGCCAATTCTCTAGCTGCAGGCTTCTACTTTGGTGTAAATCCACATAAGTGGTATTGACTGTCATGTATACCACCTGAAGATTAGGCTCATGAATCTGATGGTGTTTGTCCACACTCCCGCCCACCGGTGTTGAGTCATATTAAAATCCCAGCCTGATCGGCCTGTGAATCAGTTACGGTTTTAATTGTGGGGATTTACTAGCCAAGGAACATTGTGCTTGAATCTGATTATGACCGGCTTCTACAAGTGTAACACTCGGCAGGAAAATCAATCCTGCTTCTGTAATGAAGAAAAACAAGTCATTTTCCAAAAAGAAATATGATTATACATTCACAGTTTGGGTTGAAGAAACAGGAGGCAGGCTAATACAGAGCAGTTTTGCTCAGAGGGACTATCTGCTAGCTGAGGCCAGCATAACAAGATTCGATTCTAGTTTAATGTGGCTGCGGCTCAAATCCCATTGGAGAGTTTGTTTGACAATCTGACAAAGTTATCTCAAGAAAAATAGGTTAAAAAACATAAACTTGACTTGGGTAACTGCATTTTCTCCTCAACACATGGAGTATTTATTTTTTTATTTTATTTTATTTTTTGCCTGGAGGCCCTCTTAGCCCTCAACCCCACAGGTAATACCACTTTGTGCCTCTGCATAAACCAAAAATGTTTTTAGCAAGCGTTTTGCTCAAAGGAACGGCCTGTGTTGTGATCTTAATATGGAAAAAGAAACTCGCTTTTTAGATACATTTCTGTATAAAAAGCAGGGGGAATGAGCGAGGGAGGTATGAAACACAATTTGCCATTGCTGGGGGTCCACAGATGCTTCTTGGGTTATGCTGATCCCCTGGCATGCCTCAATGTGATGATTATAACAGGATAGTCATCAGATGTTGTTGTTGTTGTTTAGTCGTTTAGTCGTGTCTGACTCCTCGTGACCCCATGAACCAAAGCACATCAAGCACTCCTGTCTTCCACTACCTCCCACAGTTTGGTCAAACTCATGCTGGTAGCTTCGAGAACACTGTCCAACCATCTCCTCCTCTGTCGTCCCTTTCTCCTTGTGTCCTCCATCTTTCCCCACATCAGGGTCTTTTCCAGGGAGTCTTCTCTTCTCATGTGGTGGCCAAAGTATTGGAGCCTCAGCTTCAGGATCTTCAGTGAGCACTCAGGGCTGATTTCCTTCAGAATGGAGAGGTTTGATCTTCTTGCAGTCCATGGGACTCTCAAGAGTCTCTTCCAGCACCATAATTCAAAAGCATCAATTCTTTGGCGATTAGCCTTCTTTATGATCCAGCTCTCACTTCCATACATCACTACTGGGAAAACCATAGCTTTAACGATAAGGACCTTTGTTGGCAAGGTGATGTCAGATGTTATTTATCCATAATTTTTCACCCTTGAATCTCAAGAGAACTATGCAGAGGTGACAGCATTGTCATCCCTGTATTACAGCAAGGGAATTTATGGCGTGTCCATAGAGGAGTTTCCTGCACTCCAGTGACATCATCTCAAAAGTGGTGTGTTGCACAGTCGTATTGAATTGTGTGGGTCACATCCTTATTTTGGGCCTACTGCCCCATAATTCCTTGGTCTAGTGCAAGAATGGGGAACCAGCCCTGTAGTCAAGGTGGGGCAAATGGGTGCACTGGCTCCCCCAAGCTCTGCTTCAAGCCACCACACCCTAACACAAGTTTTGTATTTCTTTAAAAAGAATCACAAACACCTTGTGACATGACAATGACAGCCTCCATTTAAACAATGGCAGCTTGCTTTAAGAACAGGAGTTTTTAAAGAATTGGATTCTCTGAAAAATTCAGTGAATAAGGCAGGGCAAACTCATACCAGAAGTCTCATCTGGAAGAGCCCCCTATAGACTCTAGGAATTGCAGGTGTGGAGATTAAGAATTCTGTCAGAATTCCCTTATCAAAATACTATTCCCAGGGCTTAATTGGAATAAAATCTATATATATTTGCAGTGTAGATTACATCCTTTCTGGTTCCCTGGCACTCATGCAATAGCTTCTGAGACTAACATCATTTTGTGCTCGATGAAGTTTCAGCAGTGAAACCTGTACGAGATTTCATGTATCCTTAGGGACCACCTGAGCCCTTATATCCCAGCTCAATCACTTGAGATTGTCTGTGAGAATATTGCTGGTTGTCTTCCAAATCAGCCACCTGATGTCAACCGGGAACCAAGCCTTCAGTGTCATTGGCCCAGTCCTGTAGAATGCTCTTCCAACAGAGATTCAGCAGGCTTCTAAATGTTTGCTGAAAACACTTTTCATAGAATTGTAGAGTGGGAAGGGACTATGAGGGTCATCTAGTCCAACCCCCTGCAATGCAGGAATCATTTTGCTCAACATGCAGCTTGAACCCACAGCCTTGAGATTAAGACTCTCGTGTTCTACCAACTGAGCTATCCAAGCTATTTTTTTCATAATACTGTAGCTGGTGCTCTGTGTGTTTTTTATAGTATTTATGTATTTTTATTGTATGTACAATTGTTACAAACTGTTTTGATATGTTTTATGAAATTACTGTATACAAGCATAAAAAGGTAAAGGTACCCCTGCCCGTACGGGCCAGTCTTGACAGACTCTAGGGTTGTGCGCTCATCTCACTCTATAGGCCGGGAGCCAGCGCTGTCCGCAGACACTTCCGGGTCACGTGGCCAGCGTGACAAGCTGCATCTGGCGAGCCAGCGCAGAACACGGAACGCCGTTTACCTTCCCGCTGGTAAGCGGTCCCTATTTATCTACTTGCACCCGGGGGTGCTTTCGAACTGCTAGGTTGGCAGGCGCTAGGACCGAACGACGGGAGTGCACCCCGCCACGGGGATTCGAACCGCCGACCATGCGATTGGCAAGTCCTAGGCGCTGAGGTTTTACCCACAGCGCCACCCGCGTCCCTGTATACAAGCATATTTATAAATAAATAATGCATTGAAATATCATTAACTCAGGAGTGTGTAACAACCTTTGAAAAAGACAGATTCCATCTGGAAATAGCACTAGAAAGGTTGGGTCACTGCTTAGCTTCACTGTGATTTCTATCCCATTCCAAAAGACTGGGATAAATTAAATAATACAGTGTATTCTTACCATATATTCACAAACATTCAAAATTCAGATTATTTTTCTAGTTTAGGTTTTGAATTAACACTTCCAAATTCATAATTCAACTCTGCATTATCCATGTGGTATGCTCACCTCAGCATTTGGATTTTAATGTCTGTGGCCGCAATCTTTTACAAGACTACTCAGAAGTAACTCTATTTTAATTCAACGGGGTGTAACCCCAGTTAAGTGGATAGAGGATTAGCACATCATGATGTTTTGGTAGGCTTCAACTATGAAACTTCATGAGCTGCCAATTGTCAATGTGTCCTATAGCTAGCAAACGGTTTTCAAATTTTAATGAAAACATTCATTAAAATGCTCGGGCAAATTAGAAGGTCTTAGCTTGGCATCTAAAATTCAGCAACCAAGGTGCCACGCAGAAGTCTCTGGAGAAGCACTCCACAAAGGGAGACTTTCAGTTATTATTGCCTAAACACTTTCAGGTTTTTAAAAAAGTTCCTATAATGCACAGGCGCAAGGGAAGGCTGGGTGTGTTCTAAAGCACACTCTTGTTTTACAGTGTGCAATGGTGAGGCTCAACAGTGAACTGAGGAACATGGACCAGAGTCTACCATTCAGACTCGGGTAGGGCCCTACCATTAGGCAGAGATATACAAGCCACCACAGGCAGACGATGCTGCAAGCATCCTGTGCCGCTCAGTTTTCCCTTCCTCCTGAGGAATGTGATTCCTACTTGTTGCTGGCCTTGGCTGGTTGTAGCTGTTTTGCTTAGTTGCCTTCTCCCAACATGTCACAGTCAATGCTGTTGAGAAAGGTCCCATACCAAGAAAGTAGGTAGAAATACAGCCAACACAGTCCGCTTACTTCAGCAGGTGTCACACCTGTGCAATCATTTCTCTAAGCTAGCCTGCTGCCTTCAGGTGTGTTGAAGGAAGCTATCCAATCTCCAGTGTTGAAGTAAGAGTCAACCATCATTCCAATCAGCTTCTATATATGGAACCAGAAAGGCGTCATCTTGTTCTTTGCCTCCAGCTGGCCCTGTTCAGACATGACCTATGACAGATGTGCAGCAGTTCTTTGACAGACAAGTTCATTGAAATAGGATCTGTTAAGGAAGAAAGTTTGAAAACTTGGGTGATTTATCAGTGGTATCAGGTACCAGCATAGTTAAATACCAGACTGCACGTCAACTCTCAAATATATCAAACGTCAACCATTGACACAGAATATCGTTGGGTATTAAATACAAGTACCAAATATTCAGACACTGTTTAGCAAATATTATAGAATTCAGAGGATTATCAGGGGAATGCACAACATCAGCATCAGCAAAGGAGAATTTTGGAAGCATATTCATTTCAGCTCTAGCTTAAAGGTGGGCTTTCCCCTCAGCCATGCAAAGCGGAGATCAACAAAATCATGTTGACATCCTACTTTGCACACTCGAGAACTGAGCTCCGACACTTGAGGTGAGGAAGTTCCCAGGCTGAGTCCAGCTAGGTCAATGCTCCAATAAATGACAAGCTCGTCCTCAAAAGCTGATGCCATAATGAATCTGTCAGGCTTTAAGGTGCCACAAGTCTCTTTGCTGTTTTGGCTATGGAGAATAAGCAACAGTGAGGCATGAGGATATCAAAGAATGCCTGCTTAAGGCTTGCATACTGATTAAATTATGTGACCCAGATTAGCAGTACTTCCAACATTTATCTTTAATAACAAATGCAGTAATGAAGAAAGTTCATTCTTTTCTGTAATTAATTAGCTAAACCAGGGCAGATTTGTGTTTGATTTCATTCTCATGTTTCATCTACAGCTCACGCAAACATTAAAGTATAAGAACTGAGAGAATTCTTATGCTTGATTTGCCCTCCTCCACCCTTCCATTGTGCTTGTATCTTCTTTGTTTAGGCTGGGATTTTAACTCGTTTTTGTTGCATTAGATGGCCCCATCCGTTGTGAAAGGTAAAGACTTAGGTCACCATCTCTGCCTTTTGATTAAGCATGTATTCTAGTTTTGTTGCAGATCTGCAACTCATTTAACTTCATCACTTCTCAGGCGGGAACTTAAGAAGCCACCGTATACAGAGTCAGATCATTGTTCCTTCCACGTAAATATTGTCCAAACTGAAGAAGAAGAAGAAGAAGAAGAAGAAGAAGAAGAAGAAGAAGGAGGAGGAGGAGGAGGAGTAGTAGTTTGGATTTGATATCCCACTTTATCAGTACCCTGAGGAGTCTCAAAGCGGCTAACAATCTCCTTTCCCTCCCTCCCCCACAACAAACACTCTGTGAGGTGAGTGGGGCTGAGAGACTTCAGAGAAGTGTGACTGGCCCAAGGTCACCCAGCAGCTGCATGTGGAGGAGTGGAGACGCGAACCCGGTTCCCCAGATTACGAGTCTACCGCTCTTAACCACTACACCACACTGGCTCACTTAATGGCAGTTCTTCAGGTTTCAGATGGAAGTCTTTCCCAGCCCTACCTGAAGAGGCCAGGGATTGAATCTGGGCCCTTCTGCTTGCAAGTCATTTACTCTACCAGTGAGCTATGGCTCTTTCCCATACAGAATTAAACATGAATTGTAATGTCTGTACCCTGCTAAGAGGAGGTATATTCATAAGCAGCTGGCCATAGGCAGAGCAGAGCACACACACACAAGCCAGAGAGACAGGTAGCATGAGAACGATGTTAAGACTCTGTGAGTTGCTATCTTGTTCAGAAAGAGTTCAGTTGTACACATTTTGCAGTATAGACAGGACGTAAATGGTAAGTGAGAGTACTGTGAATGGTGCACCAATTATTATTGCCAAAGTTTATTTATTTTAAGGAGTTGTACTCTGCCATTCAGTACAGTCATACCTCGGGTTGAAGTAGCTTTGGGTTGAGCATTTTTGGGTCGCGCTCCGCGGCGACCCAGAAGTAACGGAATGCGTTACTTCCGGGTTTTGCCGCTCGTGCATGCGCAGACGCTCAAAATGACACCGCGCGCATGCGCAGAAGCGGCAAATCGCGACCCATGCGGACGCGGGTTGCGTTCGCTTCAGGATGTGAACGGGGATCCGGAACAGATTCCGTTCGCATCCAGAGGTACCACTGTAATTCCATATGTCAATAAAAACTCTTTAAAAAACCAAAAAGGCACTAAAACAACTGAAGACTATGCAGCATAAAAACCTTAAGACTCTCTTTTATAAATAACCCAAAATAAATAATTTTAAAGCCTAGGAAGTTTTTTAAAAGGTGTTTTCTTCACCCGAAAGACACCTGAGTAGGCCCAAGGGGAGTCTCCCTGGGGAGATCATGCGAGAGATGAGGTGCTACTTGACAAACCCCACTCCTCTCATGCATGCTTTTAACCATCTAATAAAAATTAAATTGAGTTCTTTTTATTGTAGGAAGGGAGTTCAGTGAAGCTCGTAACCCAGTTCTTGACTGTACTTCCCATCCATTTCCTAGAGAAATACTTAAAAGTAGAATTAGAGATTAGAAATGTATGTATCTTTCATTAATATTTTATTAAAATAATTTCAGTTACAGAAAATAAAGTGATGAAAAAGAAGGGAGAAAAAAGTGCAAAAATACATTAAGAAAGAAAGATATAGTAAGGTGCACTAAATATAACCAGTTACATTTCCATACATTATTATATAGATATATAAATAACATTATTGTCCTAATACGTATATGATTATTAACTAACTGCTATGTTTCTGGCTGAATCTGAGTGCTAGTACAGTACTGGACTTTCCAGTGGCCCCCAATGTTCTGTGACCAGCTTCCCTTATGAATCATTTGCTTCTTTAGACCTGCCTAGACTTTAAACCTGGCCTCAGAAGCATTGCCTACTATGCTGCTTTGAAGGCTGCAGGGCCTTCTCAGTGGTTGTGCCATAGTTGTGGAATACCTTCCAAACAGAATGCCTTTTAACATTTCATTGTTTAAATACTGCTGTTGCTTTAGTTTTAGTCAGGGCTAACCCTGACACAGATTATGGAGGCAGGAGGATAGATGAAGGCTGGAACTGGTGTCTGATACACCAAGAATTTATTAAGGCCTTGGTTCTGATGGTGCAGAGGGGAACCATTTGGGCTTTGCTACGGGCAAAGGGGCCTACTGCCATTCGGGTTCTGCAGTAGCCAGCAGAACGTCTTGGGCCAGTACTGGCTTTTCTCTTCAGTTGTCTTTTGTGGTTTGAACTGATGCCTTTGATTCTATAGGACTCCTGTTAATTGCGCTGCAGAATGGCACTTTTAACATTTTGTTATTAATTTTATTCTTTCATATATATAAACTGCTTCATCGCCAGAAGTTACTAAACTTCTAGACAATGAAGTTAATTCTACCATTCTG